GTTCTGTAGGAGCTTGGCTGGAAGATCAGAATGCTGAGAGCAGTACAGGTGATGGAAACCTGGCCTGTGAAATTTCAGAAGGAAGCAAGGACCACCAGGCCTTTTTTGTGAAGAATCTGTGATTCCGGTCAGCTGGGGCTGAGGAGTTAGCTGTGATTAAGAACAGAGCATCATCGTTACTGAAGTGAAATCGTGGAAGTGTTTCCTGAGAGGCAAGACGCAGAAGCTGTGTTCCAGCGGTGGCCAAGGCTGTACCTCGGGCTGGCAGCTTAACTTGGGAGTGTGAGTGACCCAGGTGGTTCTGGGTTTTGAAGGTATGAAGGGGTCATGGAGAACAGTGGAGTGGAACTGTGTGGAAGGGGTGGAACCCCTGAAAAGACCCCAGGAGAGGCCACTGGTCAAAGTGCAGAACAATTACAGCAGAAGACCCCATCATTTTCTGAGATGTCAGTACTGTGGATTGATCACCAAGAGTAGCCACAGCAGAGGACTGGAGCCAGCCTAGAAGACAAGCTGTGTGTGCTGTAGAAGGCAGAGCAGGAAAAGTGACCTAAGCCCTTTGGCGGAGCCCAGAAGATCGTGAGTAAATCCTAGATAACTGGACACTGAGTTACTTACATTATTGTAGTTTGGTTTCGCTTCATTCAGACTGAGACTGTGTCCTGATTCTACCCTCATAAAGAAATTATTTAACATAATTTTTTATTTTATAGGAGCCCTTAGTTGAGAGACTGAGTTTTAAGATTTTGAATTTTAAAGAAACTGAATTTTTAAATATTTGAATTTTAAAAGATTGTGTTAGTTTTAAAATTTGGAATGTTTATATTATAATGTTTGTATTAATCTGTGATCTTGCGGAAGAACAAGAAAGGAAAGATTATGACAACACTGTGTTAGCATGTCAAGTTGACAAGGGGTCAATTGTGCTGGCTAGTTTTATGTCAACTTGACACAGCTAGAGTTATCTGATAGGAGGGAACTTGAATTGAGAAAATGTGTTCTTCAGGCATTTTCTTAATGAGATGGGGAGGGCCCAGCTCATCTAGGTGGTGCCATCCCTGGGCTGGTAGTCCTTGGTTTTATAAGAAAGCAGGCTGAGCAAGCCATGTGAAACAAGCCAGTAAGCAGCACCTTTCCATGGCCTCTGCATCAGCTCCTGCCTCCAGGATTCTGCCCTGTTTGAGTTCCTGTCCCAACTTCCTACAATGATGAATAGTGATCTGGAAGTGTAAGCCAAACAAAGCCTTTCCTCCCCAAGTTGCTCTTGGTTATGGTGTTTCATCACAGCAATAATAACACTAATAAAGGCAGTTAGGGACTGTACAAGAAGCATTTGTTTCTTCCTTGAAAGTTCCTGTAAAGCTAAGTGTGTTTAAAAAAATAGTCCATTAAAATAAACTCTATTAATCAAAAACATCTTAAGACTGTTTAAAAGTGGAATAAAAGACAGTTTCATCTGAGCAAACAAAGAAATTATTCCATACTGTATAATAACATGAATTAAACTACCATCTAACATATTAGTTTATCATGACTGGTTTTTAACTGTACTAATACACACAATAAAACACCAGGAAACAAATGAAAATTATTCCTATTTCAGAGCTTGAGGAGACCTTAGAGATGGACGGCTGGGTTTAGACAGACACAGAAATTAAGCAGTTCTGAGGAGGGGAAACTATTCAGATCCCGCCTAAGCAAGAATGACTGTCCTAAAATAAGCTCTGTGAGAGAAAACCAACTTAGTAAAGGAAATGTTGCTGAAAGTTCAGTTTATGCTAATGCATTAGATTTATCCCATGTTAATAGAGATACCTGCACCCCGATGGTTTAATCTGGCTGGTGCTAACATCATGCTTGAGGGTTCCGAAGTTGTTTCTTAGGCACATAAACAGCCCACCTTTCTAGCCATTATAAAACTCAAGACACTCTATAGCCTACTGCAAATCTGGGATGTGCTTGATGCTGGAGCTTGCCAGGGCATGTCATTAAACTTCCACTGGATTTCGTGTTCTCAGATGGAAACTGAAGACAGCAGTGATGCAGGCTGAGCATCCTGAATCTAAAAATATAAGTCCAAGGTACTCGAAACCCTGATCTCTTCTGAAGGCCAACAGGATGGCACACATAGAAAACTCTATACCCGACTTTTTGCATTGCATCCCAATAAAAAACAATAGCACGCCTGAAAGCTGCATAAAGTTATAGTTGGGCTTCGAATACCAGGCATGTGTGAGACAAAGGACATAAATGCTCATTGTGTATATGGAAACACCCTGAGAAGAATTGTAATTCAAACTGCTCTGGGCCCATGCACTTTGGGTAGTGCATGGGCAGTGCCTACCTCAGGGAATGCAGGAAACACTATGCAGTTCTCTTGGGCTAGGCGTGTAAGTGCTAACTACTCTTAGCTGTATCTAACTGACTTCAGGAGACCCCCATTTTTTTTCAGCATCACTTATGACACCATAGGCTGGCGGCAGTGTAAAGACACATCTTATGTGATGCTTTTGCCAGTGGAGGAGCGGCATACACTTGAATGCTGCTCCCCTCCAGGGAACGTTCAATATAGTGCAAGTAGGAGCCAAATCTTGGGCATTTCTGTTAGCAAATTACATTTACGAAAACACTTCTCAAAATTCGTACACACTGGCTTACTTCTTACACAGAAGAAGTTTTCATTTCAGCTAAAGTACATATTATCAAGGGGAAAACTTCTTTTCCTCAACTGAAAGATTAAGCTGGGTTAGGTTTTGGTCTGCAGTGCTTTTAGCCTAATACTATTGGGCTACATTGACTTTCAAGAACATTTGTGTCCTTAAGTATGTCCCCTGGCAAGAACTTGATTATATTGGAATGTGAGGCGAGTCAGCCATCGTGTTAAAAGCAAAGAAAACAACTCTGTGGGTTCAGACTGAAATGAACTGCGTTGAAATCCACACCGGTTTTAGCTGGTGAAAGTTCTAATTCACAATATAATAGTCTCAGATGACAGCTCAAACGTGCACTTCTTGCTTTGAAGGGCTCCAGCAAATGCAAGTTGGGTTCTGTATCAAGACCTGAAATTTATTTAATCAAGATAGCAAATAAGGTTTTCTGATATTCTAAGAAGCAATGGACTTTCAGTTTTCATGTAAACTGTCTAAAATAAACACAAAAGGGAAGCAAACTGGAAAAATGTGCCCTCAAAGAACAAAGGAATGTTTTTTTTTTTTAATAGGTAAGTTTTTTTTTTTTTATGTTTCATCTCAGGCAACAGACAAATATTTAACTCAATTATTCTCTATTGAGAATATTAAAATGGTTTTGCTATTGCTATCTGTATGTGATTTCAAATCCATTCAGTTTTGAGAACTTGACTGATGCTTACGCACAACTTTGGTGTATTTTAATGACGCCCCACACACAAGGCAATGCTTACATTGACTAGAAGCTTGCACTAGGTGCACGCAGATAATTTAGTTAATAGCATAAACGGAGAGATGCCACATTCACTCCTTAGACAGGCTCCCGGAAATCTCTGAAATCATCACAAGGCTTCATGATTGAAAACTTTTCTCTTTTTCTCATCATTCAGTGCAGACAAAATTTAGGTCAGATATTTTCTATTCAGAATACAAGGTTCCTAGAATTATAAAACCAGGAAAGTCCTTCTAGGTCATCCGATCTGATATTCTCTGAGGATGAAAACAGAAGCTCTGGAGAGCCAGGAGACTCAGTGTTTGCAAGTTCATGCTCATGAGTCAGGCAGACGTAAATTCCGGTCTGGGCTGTCAAGTTTTTCTCCCTGTGACTTTATGTGACTTCCCTAAACTTTCAGTTTCTTCATCTGTAAGTGGGGATTATAACTACAGTGGGGCAAGTTGCAATCACTCATTAAATGTCAGCAGCTCTCATTGTATAGTGAGTAAAAGGACTGTCAGAAGAAAGCAGTGATAGATTATCTACGATTAAAATGTGCATGTACTACATCAAGAGTTAGACTACTGTTCTAGTCATTTTGCTACCAACTTGATTAAGATATTAAATTAGTGGTTGTATACCAATGTCTCAGTTTCATGGAGCTTCACATTCATGGAGATTCCAGCTAACACTAACCACTTCACATCTATCTTTTAAATTGTTTTAGCTCAATTACATGCTTCTCATTACATTAGCACCAAACTATTCTCTCACATGAAATTAATGATGACTTGTTGGCCACAAACAAAAGCTAGGACCCTTCCCATAAGGATCTGAGATTTGACTTTGTTTGCCATACTGAATAGGTCAGATAGTCTTAATTCGTTGGTGTAGTTAGATATTTCCATATCATCCACACGTCAGCTCTGGAGAAAGTAAGGAGGAGAATCTTGGGGAAGAAAAAGTGAAATGTACTTTGCTTGAAATAAACTCAGGGTTCTAGCAGCCACTGACCATGGGCACTCATAATTGCATTTTTGCTAATATTCACTGCCCTTAAAGGTTTCATAGTACTCAGAGCCAAATGTTCTTACACTTAAAATAAAACCAAGAGCAATGAAGAAGAATCCACAGAAACAAAGCTAGCTTTACATAATACTCTCGTGGTTCCTCAGCTTTTGGTGGGTTTTGGTGAACTAGCAGTTGTTGTTGTTTTTTTTTTTTTTTTTTCAGTGAGCATCCTCAGACTGTCAAATTGGTGTTGAAACATTTTCCTGAAATAGACTAAAGACCCCTGCCCCCTCACCTCCCCAATCTGGAGAATGATCAGTGTTTGTGCAGCTAACTTCCATTCTTTAACAATAATTAAAAACAAATGTAAATATGGTCTAAATATATCAGAGAGGCATAATCATAAACTACATCCAGATAAACCCAGGTGTAAGCACCAGCAGAACCCAAACACCTTTTTTATGTAACACCAATGTGAAGAACAGGCTAACAGATGAAGAAAACAGGAATGTGAAAGGCGGCAATTTGCAAGTACACCCAGCACTTAGTATTTCAGCTGCTAAGATAAAACAGTTTGGCAAACTCACCCGCATCTTTGCACAAGCATCTTGCGTTGATTCTGTCCCCCTCAGCTCTTTTATCAGCATAGAACCTAAATACTAAAACACACACACACACACACAAAATTGGAATGACATATTAAAACGATTATAAATGTGAGTAATGGTTTAAAAAGCTGTGGGAAGGCTACTGGCTACATTTCTTGGCTGTAAGTTGGTGATACCTTTAAATAGCTAGCAGCAACCAATCCTTACAGATGGGGAGAAGGCAGCAGTTAGCCATGGCTTCTGATCACTGTGAGTCGGTCTCTATAAAAGTTACAGCATTTTCTAAAGATGTCACATTTCAAATCATATTTAGCTGCAAAATGGGGGTATCTAAAAATGTTTCCCCGTTTATTTATTTTTTCTGAGGCAGCAATGTCTGCAGAAATAAATCACACTACTATCAGTGTAATTGCAGGGTTGTAGGCCACAGCTGAGGAGCGGCGAGGCAACACGGCCCCCGCTTGGGCTTATTCTGAAGCGTAGGTAATTAAAATGGCGCTGTTCTGAGGCGGAAATGCAGCTTTGGACACTTTTTATTTATGGCTGTGTGTGCTCTGGGCTTCACCCACCTCAGCATGCGTGCCATTCCCATTTTATAGGGACAGGGCTGTCTCTCTGGTGCAGAGTGACACATGATGAGCTTGATGAAGGGGGTGTGGGGAGAGAGAGAGAACCTCCCCAGGTTGCTGCCATGTGACTGAGTCATGGACTTTTTTTTTTTTTTTGAATCATGGATTCTTGATTCATATCCCCACTCATGTTCTAGCTTCTGGTTGGGGCAAATAATTTTAGCCAAAAATGTCTTTGTGTCTGTCCCTCCCTATGCCCCACATTAAAAAAAATAATCAACTCACTTATCAACTTTTGAAGCTTCAGCCGGTTCTTTTATTTACCTTTCTTCAATACCCTTAAAAATAGTTTTACATTTATCTTAAAATCTGAACGAAGATGAGGACTGTTGGGGAGAGTAGAAGACAGAGCCCTGCTCTCACAGAGGCTCTTGGTTTAGTGCAGGCTCAGGCATCGGTCCTGAAGACCAGGCGATCACGGACTCACTGCGCATGTGCATGGCAAGGTGGGGAGGCTTGGACTAGGGCCTTGTTTAGAAAGCCTCAGAGATTTCGGGTCTGAGCTTTAGAGGAAGCCATTTTAATAGTTTTTGAACACTTGTTGAAAGAAATCCAATGTTGAATGATAAACCACAGAGAAAGGAGACGGCACAGTGGAATATGTCCAGACTGGGAGGAGATAACCACAGCACATCGTCATCATTAAGAAAAATGATCCCAGACAAGTCTGTATCTTTTAAAGCTTTTAGGAAAGTTGGCCCTAATTGAAACATTTCTTTTAAAGAGAGAAAGTTTCAAGGTTCAGCCATCTTTTTTTTTTTTCTTTTCCGTACTGCAGTCATGACAATCATCACTGGTTCCAAAGCCTACAGGACTGTTGAACATTCAGTGTCCACATTTCCTAACTAAGCCCTATTCTCAACTGATAAAACAAAGCGAGGTCCGGCAGTCCCAGTCTTGAAGACAATGGTAGACCTGATGTTCTGCTGTCGGTGGTCAGCAAACGTGTCTGCGGCATTTACACTCCCTTCCTTTGATTTTACTTCTTGAGCTGTGGGTGGAACCCAGGGCCTCGGGAAACTAGGCAGACATTCTATTTAAAATTGTGCTTTATTGATCAGGGTGGGTGGTGCACGCCTTTAACCCCAACACTCCGGAGGCAGAGGTAGGCGGATCTCTGAGTTCGAGGTCACCCTGGTCTACAAAGTGAGTTCCAGAACAGCCGGGGTTACATAGAGAAACTCTGCCTCGAAAAACATAAATAAATAAATAAATAAATAAATAAATAAATAAATAAATAAATAGCGCTCTGTAACACAGTTTTGAACCACACAACTTTATACAGAGGCACAGAACAAAATGTACACTAATAGGGCTTCAAGGGTTCTAAAGCTCTGGTTATCTGGACATTTTTAGGAAATGAAGAAAGGAAAAGAAACCCTTCTGAAATGTCAGCAATGCACATTTTGGTACATTTTCAACAGATGCAAACTATCTAGGGGATATAGCCTCTGTGCCTGCTTGTGCCCAAATACCAAGAACAGGGTAACTTACAAAAGCTTTGTAGTCACACGACTGGAAAATGAGCTTTTCTGGGTGGTGCTGCCAGTACTGGACTGGAGTTGAGGCTGTGGCTTCATTAGGAGGTCGCAAGGTGATGGAAGGTTCTCCCCAGTCCCCTGTCTGGAAATGACACACACTTTAGAGATAGTATAAGCAGCAAGCTGCTCTATTCTCTCCTGCTAGTCTGGTTTGCCTAACACACCTGAGCTGTAAATGCTCGGGGCCTTTGGTTGTGTTGTGTGTGCATATTGATTATTTTGTTTCCATGTGAATTAGTTAGCATTATATTTCCTAAGCTAAGTATGAAGAAGTCGAATTTAATCTGTTTTCAGAATGACATCCTAGGCTAACTAATCTTAAAAACAAAACATGAAAATGTTAGTAAGCGATTTATCAATTTGTAATATTCTGTGACAACAAAAAATATGCTTGAATTTTTTTTTAAATTGACTGAAAATTTCAGTTCAAATTGCTTTTGCTTTAGAATAATACATTAGTTTAATGAATTTCAGTTCCCAAATATGGCATTATCATGTACTCTGAACACTTTTATATCTATGGAGAAAGGTTTTGCAGGTAAGATACTAAACAAAATGCTAAAATAAAAATTTACTTATGGGTGACAGCTACTTTCGCTCATTGGAATTCAGCTGCACAGATGCAGTATTTCAGAGCTGGCCTTGGGTGTTCTCCGCTGCCTTGTTCAGAACTGCAGCAGCCCACAGTCTGGAATGTAGGTCTGCTCACATGAACACGCACATGTATGTGAGACTCCTGATCCACATGTATGTCATGTATGATGGTGTGTTCTCTTACACATACCCACAGAGGCTCACTTAAACAGGCTGTTCCACCATCCCAGTCACCTTCATCTGTTTAATAAGGACATTTATAAAGCCCAAACTCTATCCTGGCAGGTCTTTTCTCAACTCTAATCTTATTTATATGTCACAGGTAGAGTTTTTCTTATTCTTGTCTACATTAGGGATTCTGGTTTCTCAAAATCAAGTTCTTTGTTCTCAAAGGGACATACCTAAAACTGGACTATGAAAAGTATCTCCAAAGCTTTTCTCTTCTAACTTGGCTGGTCTTACAGAATTATGAGAAATTATTTTCCTTAGGTATTGGAAGCAAATTACAAGGTTTCACGAGCTCCCAAAACAAATAGAGCTTGGCTGGGGACCAAGCTTCACGGAGTACTGGCAAAAAGGGCTGACACACTGTGGGATTTCTGGGAAGAATTTTCAAGGAATCTATATATTCTCAGATGCACGATTTTGGAGAAAGAGGAAGTACATAGCTTTTATTAGATCCCTTGAAAGGCTGAAGAAATCCCAAAGGCTAAGAAGCTAGGGCATCCAGGAAAGGCTCAGATCTGTGCATGTTTGGGCGAAGAGGGCCAGCGGCACCATGTTCTCTGTGCACTTTAGAATTCTGTTAGGTGGGATAGAGGCAGCGGCCGAAGATAGAGAGCACAAGGCAAGAGCCTTGCCTTCTGGAAATTTCTAACTGGCTTTGAAAAACAAAAAGAAAAAATTTGAGTTCTGTACAAATGACACAGGCCTTTCAGAAGAGTGTGCCTGGAGAGTGTCGTCTGTGTGGATCACCTGGCCTAACAGGTGAGCCTTGTTAGCATCACTCGTGGGGTGGGAGTGCATTTAATGAGAACTCCTCATATCCTGCTCATTTCGCAGCCATTGTCCGTATTGGTTTTGTTCTATTTGTTGGTGTGTTTGTACTGATTGCTTCACCTTGTTGCTGACATTTTAGCACATGTCACTTAAAATATATCATGACATTTAAAACCTATAACATTAACATAAACACTTTCCCCCTGTCTTTATGGCCTAGCCCTTGCTCATGATAGAATTCTCTCTTTATATGAGTTATTTGTAATAACTGATTGCAATTAATTTCAGGCTGAAGTTTCTCTCTGATTTCAATAGTTTGACCTTTTCTTTTCCTTCTCTCTCAAATGTCTGGCTTCTTATTATGTCTCTGGTCTTTATAAAGCTGGTTATGCATTGCCCTTAAAAACTCATACAGATGTCAACATGAAGGCTCTGTGGGATTCATTATTTTAAAGCTGAGTATAATAACCTTTATAACTCTGGAAACACTGCAGCTATGAGTTCTTAAAAGCTCTCCCCAAATCTAGCAAACAACCCTCCATTTCTCCATTAAACTTCTCCCCCTCCCGTTCTCCCTTGAGAAAGCAACAACAACAGAGCAAACACTTAAGTCACAGGTGATGCTGTTAACAGAACAACAGAAGTTTGCACGCAACTCCGTGGAATGATACAGAAGGAAGATTTGGGTGACATCAAAAGATCCTTTGAGCCAGTGTCTGCTGACGTGACAACTTAGTGGAGCAGCAGAACTTCATTAGGACATAAGCCCTATTGTAGTTAGCTGAGGTATACCTCGGTAGAGCTTAACAGGCAGGGGTAGGGGTCCTGAGGGTTGGAGGGGAAGGACTGGGAAGAGGGCTTGGGCAGAAGTGGGTGCAGTAAAGCGGGGGAGGTGGGGGTGTTTCACAGGTTAGTACATTGGGCATGCAAACCATGGACAGATTCATTCTCACTGTCAACTAGGTCACGCGCTTTCATGATTAAACTTAAATATGGGTCTATAGACTCAAGGCAGAGCCGCAAGCCAAATGCTGGTCCAAATGCTTAAAATCATCCATAGACATTGTAACAGCCATTCTGGGAATAACAAACCCAAGCATGAACTCTCTGTTTGTAATCATCAAGGTGACTTATTTAATAACCACCTGAAGAAATGAGCGGCAAACCCACTTAACTGTTTAGACAGTGCCATCAACTGCTCTCCTAGGCCTCCATTTGGTCCAATAGTCACAAACCACTTGCTCTGAATCTAGAGTGATCTGGTAACACCTCCCCTAGGAGTTATGGGGGAAGATAATTATAGGGGAGGGAAATATAATCCTTACTTTATTTTCCTTGCAGTCTTGAAATGTTGTTCCAGTCCAAATATTTTAAAATTTCCCACAGGGACTGAATCGACCTTTCTGGAAACAGACTCAGAGTTTTGTCGTGCTGACTGCTATTTCCAGAAACGTATTTTCAGAAAGAAAATGTTCTTCGGATTGAATTTATAAGAAAATATTTTTTTTTCTTCCTGGAAATTCAACTTCCTTTCTCTTAAAAAAATCCCAACACCTCATATTTATGACTACTGAGAAGAATAAAACATTTGATACTCAGTTCCTTTTTTTACAGTTAATGTGAATGGAAGGACTGCAATTGGACTTAGTGTCATACTCCAGAGAAAGACGGGAATGACCTTGGCCTTGGGCTAGGATTTAGCTATACTGGTTGGCTGCCAGGAAAGACAAAAGAGTTCAGAGAACAAGGGTGCCTTAGATCTCAACTCTCCTTGAGGTAAAGTGGGAATGAGCATGTGAGGAGATGGGCTGAGTGGTTACCGCACACAGTAGCAGAAAAGACTGAAAAATAAATGAGGAGTTCTGCTTCATATATAAAATAATTTAAACTGTGAAGCCTTGGGTTAGCCCTTGAAGAGCTAGCTACACATCCATACATATACATTCATACCATCCCTGTGTTTCTTCTTCAGGCAAGTGTTTTAAATTAAATCCAATAATTTTACTTTACAATTCTTATTAAAAATTAATAAAAATCAAACAGACCTAAGAAGTCTTTTGCCTCAAATAATGGCCTTAATGAAAACTCTTCTTTAATGAGAAATAGTCTAACTTTGGAAACAATGATACAATAATAGCTGATTAGAATAACAATGAGGCAGGAAAAGTTTGCTGTAGATAGTTGCCATATTTAAAACTGTTATTGACATAGTGATCTTTAGAGGCTTCCTCAAGTGATTGCAGAAAAGAAATTAAAACAAGTTAAGTAACTTTTGATAAATGTCTTCAGGCTCTTTCTTTAGCACTTAGAACACTTACAGAAAGCCTTTTATGTTAATGACCTTAATATGCTAAGAATTTGGTCATGGCTTAAAACTTCATTTATTTTTTTTTATTTGCTATATCATATATATGCTTATTATGTTCCACTTTAAAACAAATACAATGAAGAATATTTATTAAACAGGAGAAAATATACATCACTAATTAGCACATTAAACTAAAAATTCAACTTTCTAACATTAGGGAAAAATACAATTTGATATTAGAGTTGTAAATCGAGCACATTCTCTTCAACAGGCATCTGTCCACCAACAACCATTAATTCATACTCCAGCTGAGTCTGAAGGACTTAAAATCAGGCCACATATAAAATAATACAATTAAACTAAACTTTATTTTATAACACTAGCTGAAAAATATAATACCATAGATGAACTTAGTTATATAAAATTCACAGATGCCTCTCGGCAGATTTTTATTAGCTCAATGACTCAGAAATGAAGCTTTTGGCCTCTGTGTTATTCACAAGGCAGTGCAACCTGACATCTCAGGTAAGCTCTAAGAAAGATCATCTCACGCAGCAAAAAAGTGAGCATTACAGTTTCTGTATGTTCTGACAATACAACGGGGAAGCACTTTCTATATTTCTAATTTCCTTCCAAACAAAAGGTTTCCCAGGGATATCAGTACATAATTAAGGTTTTGATCATGAGATAACTTTCTAACATCAATAGAGTGGTAGAATATTTTCTAAGCCTTGTGTAATTCTTTAAAAAAATTTTTTTTTTAAATTGAGACAATTGATTTTTTTTTTAATAGAAGCTTTTAAATCTTTTCTGCTAGGAGCTAGTCCCACCTACCTGCTAATAAATTTAGACCTGGATATTCACAAACATTATTCTCTCTTTCCTCAGAACACCTAATGAAAAACTAACATGATCTGAAATGACAACTGTTACTTTGAGGTTTTCACTTTCAGTAACTCTGATGAGCTTCAGAGAGGGGCTACCCAAACCCATGCAAGGGTTACAGTTATCTCCACTCCTGTAGTCACTAAGCTCTCCATACAGAGCTCCACACTGTGGACATAAACTCGTTATCTGGATGGGAGCCACTGGGAGGGAGGGTCTCCTGTGGACATTCCTACATGGGGAAAGCCAGGTGCAGCAGCGGTTGTTTGAAAAAGTCTCCAGGAACTAATAGCAGTGCTCTTGTGCCGTTGTTTCTGCTGCATGCATTCTGCTGAGGAGGAGCAGAGATGGCCACTTCTGAACACTTAGAAGCTGATGTTAGCACCGGGCACTTGGGAGGGCTGCTGGGTCACAGAGCACCAGGGCAGGCAATGCGTGGACATCATGGGTCCTCAAGAACCAGAAGTTCCATGCACAGGGGATGAATGTGCCTGACATGGCAACTTCCTCCCCAGAGAGGCCCTTCACATGCCGCCCCAAGGACTTTCAGTGATTCTCAACCAAATGTCTCAAGCTCCCAAACAACAGGCTAGACAGTGGGGAAAGTTCCAGTGGATGTGAAAATAGGATTGTATTTTAAAATATGAACTTAAAATCTGTGCCAGAATGTTTATGTTCCAAATTAAATTATTTTCTAATGTATGTAAATACAAGACATGAATATTTGAATATTAAACAGCTCAGAATAAAATAGGTCACAATTTCACTTGGATTCCAAAGATCAGTTCAGTACCACCAAATGGAAAAAGGCTGAGAACCACCTTAAAGCTGTGAGAGTGTCCCCCTCCTCCCAGCCTCTTCATCCCCAGACATCTGCATCACTTGCAGGGAATCTCATGCAAGTCAAGTATTTCTCACAAGTGAGTCTGTAAGAGTCATCGGACACAAACAGTTGACTAGCTCATGGACATGAAGTACAAAATGGGAAGGATGACGCTGATTTATACATCTCTCTACATATCAATTTACCCTTTGCCCTTTCCCTGTAAAAGCGAAGTTAACACAGACACCTGGGATGGAAGCCAAAACTCAGACGGGACAGGCTTTCACTGAAGATTTCCAAGGCAAGTATGTTTCTCCTTTGAGGACAGCGTTTACACATCACCCAGTCACAAAGCACATGAAGTATAATAGACAAAGAACCTCAGAAGCCACCAGACGTTACAGAGTTTCCGCATTGCTGGGATGTGGTACCTCAGGCAAGTGACACAACACTGCGACACACTACACAGCGCGAGTTCAGGAAGAGAAAATAACCATTTGTAGCCTTACATTATGAACCTGATGGATCGCTGAGAAAGGAAATCCAGCGTTCTGATTCGTCCATATTTCACAGACAGACGACTGCTGGTATAAACAGAAAACTATCTTATCTTGTCAATATTTAAAACATGGCAGCTACCAACGTATATCCGGGGAGGGAAGGAGAAAAACATCAGAATAAAAGAATCACATTTATTTGAAATAAATAGGTAGATAAATAGATAAATAAATGTTTAGGGTTCTCAAGGTTTAATAATTGACTTCCAAGTCATTCTTTATGCTTTAATGTATCTTGGGCTGGCTGGGGGTGGGATGGGGTGGGAGAGGGGACCATTTATGCGTTAGTGCTACATGAAGGGAAATTACAAATCAATTCACAGCTCAGAAAAAGCAAACTATTTTTACTTTCGCCATGCAGAAAAGCAGCATCTTCCCTCTTCGTAGCGTTATTTTCAGAAAATAAACATTTCACTGAACTGAAGAAAGATGGAAGAGGAATCTTTAAAACTGGTCAGACATCTGGATTTTCTTATTGTCAATGCTCAAGAAAAAGCAGTAAATGATGTCTATGCCCTCCACAGATCTCAGGTAGGACGCCAGGTCCTGTGTAGCAGAGGGTGTGCTGGAGGAGTCCCTGCTGAGAGTGAGGGACGGGGTCCGGGGGAACGCAGCAGCTTTTACGGGTGCCATGAGCTGGCATCTTTACTGCGCTCTCCTCCACACCAGCAGAAATCTGAAACTGTAACGTGTGCACTCAGAATCAAATGCTCTGCCAAGCAACACTTTCCCAGGTGCTACCACAGAAACTTCCATGTAACCTGTGGTGCTAGCGGTCTGTCTTTTTCAGAGTTCTTTTCATGGATGTTGTCACCTTGAAAGACGCTGTGATGGGGTATATGACCCTAGTACTTAGGAGGCCCAGGTAGGAAATTTCCTGAGCCACACTGTGCTGTCGAAACCCAGCACTGCTCCTCCCCCCAAATAAAACCCAAACCCAAACACTGAACTTGAATAACAGGATATGGTCTAAACTCATGTAGCAAGCCCTGTATGTCTCCCAAAGCCCCTGTGGATCTGACAAAATCATTACAGGGAGGGGACACATGTACTCATAGTTTGTCTTCAAACCCAACGAGGGGCAGTTTCAGTCATAAACAAACTATGGGAGCAGGCTTGTTACTGATGAAAAGTTTCCTCCTCTGCCATCTTCCTCGAAAAGCTCACCAGACGCCAGAATCTCTGTCATGTTAGGATGCTTCTCCACCACACTCATGCCTTTGCTTTCTAGTCCCCCGCTGTCTGCCCCGTGTGTGGGGGGACAGTTTGCAGATACCTGGCATTCTGTAAGGAAGTTACCACCCTGGGGTCTGTCTGTTCCCCACGTATTGCCCCCCACTTTAAACTTCAAGTCATTTTCTCTACAAGAAGGTCATCTTCCTATCTTCCAAAAATTCATTCTCTAGCAAGTCAAGTCCTGGGGCTGATAATCTCACCCTCCCTGTCTCTAATAGTTTCTTTCCAATTTAAACACACAGTGTCCCTCAGTCCCTATGGGGGTGTGTTCCAGGACATAACTTACACACTCCTTCCTGTACATCACAAGGAACATAACACATAGGTGTTTCCATCACCTAGGGAAGAGTGACAAAATCATACAGCATGAGGTGTTTCCATCATCTAGGGAAGAGTGACAAAATCATGCAGCATGTCCAGATTTTTGATCTGCTGTTAGTTGGATGCAAAAAGGAAGGACACAGAGGGCCACCTGCACTGACTCTAAGCATAGCTGGATTACCATCTTCACTGGCTCTGAATGTATTCCTAAGATTCAGTCAACCCATTTAGCCCTCTCACATTGAGAGTAAAGTCCACCATGTGAATCCAAGCTTCCAGCTCTTGCACATACCCCTAACAGCACCGGGAGCTAACATTCCACCAGTCACCTGACAGAGGAAGACTTTAACATCCAGAGATGAGGTCCAGTGGAGTTGACACAGATGATAGCTTCTGGGATGGTTAGGGAGGAGGACACGTTGTTAGGAATGTCATCAGTAGCAGAGAAACTAGTGAGAGGGGCTTGGACTTCTGAGCCTGAAGCAAACACATGGAAACAAATCTGCTTCCCCCAACAGTCTCAACTCCATAACTACCTAAACACCTAGACGGTTTATTCTTTTTCTGTCATTGGTCCTGAATGAACCAGACCCACTCCGGAAGGCACAAGAGCACTTAATATTTTAGGTAGGTGCCGTAACTTCCTGGTCACTTTAAGTCATGTAGAATTCCTTTTATGCAAAATACTATCTCATTGCTGATTCTGATTTTCCTCCAATCATGGTGCAGTCTTGGAATGTAGGACACCAGAAGCAGTGAGAGAGGCGGGTGCACTCTGTCTTCTTCTACGACGAAGGGGTGGGCAGTGTGTTCTCTCTTGGCATGTCCCCTCTGTTTATTGAGGAGGAGGACTTGGGAAAGAGATATGGTCTTTTTCTTTGTGACTGCAGTTACATTGTTTTTGACAGTTGGTACTCCTGTTTAGCACACACTAGAGTGACATTCAGGGGAGGGGCTCAGTGTCCCTGTTCCCTTGCTGCACATCCATGGAATTCACATGGCATACATGTATCCCTGACACACAGAACAGGAGAAGGAAGACTTTTGGACCACTGTTCTCAAGTCTCTGCTGGGACACACCTGTCTGTGGTCTTAGGGTCAGGAGGTGCTTTATGTGCCTAACTCTGTCTCAGGGGAAGATGCGACACTTCTCCCTCGAGGTGAGCACTCCCAACCCCAAAGCATATGTCACCTGGGACCTGTTTTCAGCCCTGTTCTGGGAGATCAAATGGAAAACTGTCCTGTATTCCTTGGGAATAGAGGAAAAGTCCTGGCTTGTTCTTCACTGACTTTGGGAAACCCCGAGCAGCTGTCAGCCTCTTGTATCAGCAGCTTCTCTTTGGACAGTAAGAGTGTCTGTAGGGCAAGGCCTACAGGTGTGCTGTCACATGACAGTATCTTCCAACCATAATATTACCAGAGCTAAGCAAGGCAGAGAGCACTTGTTTTGCACATGTATTCTTTCGATGAGGGGAGAAACTCCATCACTTCTCCCATCAGATATACTGAAGAGTTCATGCATATTTCTGCCTATTGTAGCTGCTACAATAATTAGTTCTTATCGATAGGCAGTCTTAAATGTAGAGAAAGTAAAAACTGCAAATTTCTGGGGGCTGAAGAGATAGCTCAGAGGTTAAGAGCTCTGGCTGTTCTTCCAAAGGTCCTGAGTTCAATTCTCAGCAACCACATGGTAGCTCATAACCATCTATCAAGAAATCTGGTGCCCTCTTCTGGCATGCAGGCTCACATGCAGGCAGAACCCTGTATCAATCAATCTTTAAAACAAAAACAAAGACAAAAAACAAAAACAAACAAACAAAACATTTCAAATTTCCTAATAGTTGTATGAGTGAGTTGTTACAAATGGCAAAAAGTCTGATTTTTAAAGATATTGTTTAACTTAAAGGAAATTCACTAGCTTTCTTAGGAAGATTTTTTTTTTTTTTAAGTAGATACATCCCATTTAGCCAAGTCGTTTTGTCCACAGGAAATGATTTGCCAGACCTACTTGCCAGCCAGTTCAGGTGGGGTGAACCATACCAGATGAGTCCCTAATATGTAACGGCTTAGACAAAGGGCCACAAGCTTCAGTGCAGCTGAGCTTTCACTGTGGAACGCCACTCTACGTACAAGGATACTGCTGCAGCACATATGACGTGCTGAGATTTAAAAGCTTTAAATCTCAAAAGAGATTTAAAGAAAAGAAAATAAAATGCCAGTATCAACATTTCATCTGGGGTGGGAGGTGTTTTAGAAAATTGATGACTTAAAGCTATGTTTTTTTTTTTAAAGAATTTAAATTATGTGGTTGTGTGTGGGCTTATGCACGTGGGCTCTGTGCCCTCAAAGGCCAGAAGAGAGCATCAAATCTCTGCAGCTAAAGTCACAGGCAATTGTGAACATTTGACATGGGTGCTGGGATCTTACATGGGCCCTCTGCCAGGACAGGGCATGCTCTTAACCGCTGAGCCATCTCTCTAGCTCCTACTGCTAAGTTTGAATAAAACTTTAGAATTTCTCCATCTGCTAAAAGCTGCTCTTGGCTTACTTATTTTACCAGGTATACTCATCACTCAGGCTAAGTGAGAGAGGGATTTTTCCCCCCCAAGCTAAAGGCTTGGGACACAGAAGGCCCCCAGACAATATATGGAATAAATGAAATCTATTAGGAATTCTTGGTAAAGGTAAAGTACTATAGAAACAGTCAGCACCGCTATTCGTTATCACTTGCATTGGGCCATTTTGTTTTTGCTGTTTGTGCTATTAGTAAACTAAGTCACTGCCAACACATTTTTAGTAAAATGTGTCAGAAAGGTTGTTAGAGGAATCCTTACTGTCGCCTGAGAAAGACTGACAAAAGGCTGCTGGCTTTGCTGGAGCGAGAAGGAACAGCTGTCACTTCACCTCTGTACCAGCGGCTCTTGTAGAGCTTGGAGACAGTTCTACAAAAGAACATGACTCATCCCTTTGCTGTTCATTTGCTTATCAGTGTTCTCTCAACCCCCTTCCTGCATAGACCTCAAAAACTGATTTAGTTTATCTGAGGTAGAAGTACTATGAGATCCAATTCACTAGGGTTTAAATGAATATATAGAAGTCTTTCTAGCTATCTATCTATCTGCACAAGTATTGAGGTCAGAGGACAACTCATGGATTGTGGGTTCTGGGGATCAAAGTCAGGTCTTCAAGTTTGTCACCAAGTGCCTTTGCCTTCTGAGTTATCTGGCCATCCCATAGTAGTCTTATAATTGTGATGACATCAATAACATAATCCTACTTCTTTGATGATGTAATTAACACCCGTTAGAAGGAATGCAGTTAATCTAGATGTGGTGGAGCATGCTACTTTAATCCAGTACTCAGGAGGCGGAGGCAGGGGGATCTCTGTGAGTTTGAGGCCAGCCTGGTCAATATAGGGAGTTAAGGACATGTAGAGACTCTGTCTCAAAAAACTGAAAAGAAAGAAA